TTTTTTTTTAAGACTAACAATCTGTTTATGAGAAAAAACACTGTATTTGCCTGGGGTGCTTTTTTTAAATGCACATTTCAGTATTCTCAGTGGATCCTGTTACCACTTGCAGGAGTGCAGACAGTGCACATTCAGCTTATCTTCATTTCAGGTGCAATAAAAACAGTGAATCTGGTCCAAAACAAAAATGTTATAGCTTTACTTAGTTTATAGTTATGGCTAAAAATCTACATGTGCACAGGCAAGATACACGACCCAATGCAGGTCCCTTAGGAAGGATTGTCGAGAGACTTGCTCATTCGCACACATTTATAGATTTCTTTGCTCCATATATTACCTCTGCAACAGCAGGAGATAAGCAGGTCCAGCTGTTTTAAAGGAGACTGTCTCCTCAACCCTGACTAACCTCTCGCCACTGAGCCCTCAGACTGTTTACTTGGCTTTTTTTGCTCTGCTCTCTTAGGAAAGATATTTCTGTGATTTCCTGCTGGCTACATTTCTATAACAATGTGAGCGAGGCGAGGAGAAAAAAAAACAAGAGGTTTGGAAAATTCTGATGAGGGTGAGTGAGCTGGGTGGTCAGGATGGGATGTGTCTTTTAGATGTGCTGTGTTGCCGGATGAAATTTAGTCAGGCCCACATGTGTGTAAATGACAGTTTTGCTGGCAGGTTAAAATCCGACATTAAAACCGAGAGGAATGCGTGAACACACACAGACAAACACACAATGGCCACCATTCTCTGCCTAGAGGGATTACAAGGATGGCTACATGTCGCCATCATCATGTCTGCAGTGCAGCTGTTGCGCTGGGTAATGTGCCTGTCTGTTTGCGTCTGTGTGCGCATATATGTCCTCTGTGTGTGTCCCACCAAGGTATAAACACACAGTCTGCCGTCTCACATGGTGACAGTCGATCCTTCACGGCGGCTAACCAGAGGCAGTGGGCTCATCTCGCAACACCATTCACATTACAAATGGCTCATAAACTCTGCCCCTTTATCACTCCAGTTAACACACACTCATGCATACTGTTCAAGCTCCCCATGCAGTGATCTGTGGAGCCCCAGCCTGTGATCTGTATCTATGGTAAACAAGCAGGCATCCCGACACCAGAAATTAAGACCCGGTATTATCACTGCCTAACAAAAGCTAACACAACTTGGATATCAAAAATAGAGTTGTTTTTTTTAAAAGGAGAATTACTGGGTTTGCAGGAAGGAAGTTAAGTCTTTGATTTTATGTCTGATGAATTGGGTTCATAGGGGAGCTGTTGTTCCAGAAACAGCGATTGAAGACAGTCTGTGTGTGTTCCCATGAAAAACTCCTCACTGAAATCAACGAGCATTGTGGCAGGATAATAACGCAGTCTTGTATTATTACCTATTATTTGTCATTTGGGTTTAAAGTTTGACCAGACATCCTTGTTGCAGGTGAACTATCAAACTTAAGAATATGATTTAATAGAAGAAATGGAGCTTTAAACAGAATCACCTTTTCATATTCAAAATGATTAAAGCTTTAAGGTGCATGTTTCCTTAGTGTACTTTGAGGTACCTCAAACATATTTACCCAGCGACCAAAAATGACCTTATCAGCATTTGCACTACAAGTTTGTGTTACTGTGGAGAGTGAATATAATTGGTTTTGGCACAGACTTTTTGAGCTTGAGGTTTGCAGTGTTGTAGACTTTGATTGGTTTGTATTATATAGTAGTATGTGTTTATATAAAGATGAATAAAACAAAATATTAGAATATTTTAATATGGCAGCGAGACATTGTTCAACCCCAGTGTATAACACACAGATCAGTTAGTGTCAACAGAACTAAGGGTTTTTAGTAATATAGTCTTAATTGCAGTGCTTTTATTGCATCATAGTGATGCACCTCACAGTGTATGTATTTTTCTGATGTCATTGTACATGATAGTCAAGTCTTTATTCATGAAACACATTTAAATGTAACAGACGGTGACCATAGTGTTGCACTAGGGCTGCACGATTAATCGTTAGAAAATCGCGATCTCGATTCATACTTATGTGCGATCTCATTTCCAAGTGACAACGATTTAAAAGAAAAAAAAAAGAAAAAGAGACGACGATTGTACCGCATTTTGATCCGGGACGTAATCTGCATGAAAACAAGCGCTCACTCTTCCTGCTCAACAAATGACAAGGGCGGAGCCTTATACCACGTGATACAGAAGCTGTACCGTGTGATGCTAAAATTAGCAGGGAAAAAACAACGGAGAGCACGTCAGGGATGACGAGAAAGTGACAGGAGAAAATCCGTCCCGGTCAACCACCCAAACATCAATAACGGGAACCTTATACAGCGCTTCCCTATACACGTCGAACTCCCGCAGGCACAAAGAAATTACGGAGGCTATCACTTATCACCTGACCAAAGATATGGCTCCCATCAACACTGTGCAAAACGAGGGATTTAGGAAAATGATCAACACCCTAGACAAACGCTACACAGTGCTGTCCCGCAACTATTTTCTATTGTTGCACTACCTGCTCTATACACGCAGTGTCGAGCAACGGTGGAGACTGAATTACAAGCAGTACAACATTTTGCGGCAACGACAAAATGTGAGACATTTGTTGTTTTTATGTTTATTTATTGTTTTTATGTTCAGTCTCAACTGTTACGAAGTTGATGTGCAGTTAATAAGTGCAATAAATATTTATACTGGAAAAGAAAATCGTGAGAGAATCGTGATCTCAATTCTAAGCCAAAAAATCGTGATTCTCATTTTATGCAAAATCGTGCAGCCCTATGTTGCACATATTTAATGTTCCATGTTAGACCTTCTATTAAAAGGGTGTCATATTATAGTAAGATGAGCTTTTTTCCTCTTTATATGGGAAACAGCTCCAGGGATTTACTGAAACAAGTGCAAACGTCTATGTAAATACAGACAGTACAAAAGATGGACATAGCTACCGTGATGTCGTCCACTGATTTCTGAATTCGCTGAAACCTCTGCATGAGTGTTTCCATCTACGCTGTCCTGGTTGCATAAAATTTTTTATTTAATATGACCCAAATTTCTTTGGATCTTGGCTGCCTTTTGTTCTTTTCTCTGTCAAAATGATCTAACACAGCTCTGAGGAAGCCAATCCATGATTGATAGAGTTTCATTTTTCATTTTTTTGTATCCACATGTGCTTTTACTGCATTGACAGTGAGTTCGGGATCATTGTCTTGCTGAAAAATTAAGGCTTTACCAATAGAGGCTATTGCATGATTGAGAATGTGCCTTTCACGTTTCATTTTAAAACGCCATTCAGATCGCTCATTCTACCATGCCTGTATACCTGCGGTTTCAGTCAATTTCAGAGTCTGTAGCAAATGAGCTGTTGCTACCCCAGACGCTGTGGTGAGAAACACGGCAGGAAAGGAGAACTGAGAACACAGCCTCATCAGGAGCTTCTAAATAGCGCTGCCTTCTAGCAACAAATATTGCATCTATCTAGACAAACTTTAGCAAAGCTAGTTAAATACATAGTTAGCCCTGCTGTCATCATGGAGAGAACTAAAAAAAAAGTTTACCATGGTTTCTCTGGTTCTCTCGCTATTGTAGTTAATTGTACTAGATGTGCTGGAGTATGTTCTGTACTGGTGAAGCAATGTTCTGTCTTGAAAATTTAATAAGAGTTGTATTGTGTGCAAGGTAGCAGAGGGCTTGTACAAAATAAGTCACTCGATTACAACAAAGGCTGTAGGTTTCTATAGTAACTTGTATTTGTATATTTGTGTGTGTGTGTGTGTGTTTGCATGTGTGTGTTCTTCCCTAAGGAAAATGGCATCGAGGCAGTCTTCACTCCTCATCCTTGCCCTTCCTGGACCCTCCCATGGGAAAGCTTACCAGGAGCGATCAACCCTACTGAAGGTAAACTCTAATCTTGCCTCGAGGCTGTGCTCTTTGCTGGCTCCATTTTATTTTTGCCCTCCTGCCCTTGCACTTTTATCATTGCCCCTTTGGTTTGTTTTAGTTTTATTTTCTTGTATTTATTTGATGTCTTCATCTCTCTTTGTCCTCCTTTCACTATTTTTACTTCCCTCATGTTTTGTAAGCCCGTATGCCTCTGCAACACTCCACAGCCTCTTTCTCCCACCTTATTTCTGGGTTGACTTCAAAAAACACAAATGTTACTATATATGGAGCGAGGAACATGAATAAATATTTGCATTATACATTTCGGTACTACTGTGGCTGTTGGTGATTTATAGCTGCACCTAATGCTAACACATTTTATGTTAATCTGCAGGTGGATGCGGTTCCCCTTGAGGGTCCCCTAATGATTTTTAATCTACATGTGCTATCCTGCTGATGTTGTAGGGTGAAAGTGTGAAATAGGTCTGTGGTAGAACAAGAGTCAAAAACAATAAAAACACCTAAAAAGGTTCAAAGACAACTTGTACAGCGTCCCACTTGTCTTAGTGGATACTTCTTGCTGTGAGAGTAGTTTGTGATAGACAATGGGGGAGGTTTGTTGATTGCTGCCCCAGGTGGCATTGGAGCAACAGAGAGAGGGAAAAAATCTGTTTCTTTGCCTCTTTTCCTCACCTGCATTGTTTCTCTTTTTAGTGAGATGTCTTTGTTGTTAGCAACGCTAAATGATGCACATGCATCACTCCCAACATATAAGTGTTATTCCATCCATCCATCCATCTCAATCCAATACATTTGAATCCGTCCATCCATAGAGAGATAGACAACCATTCACACTCACATTCCCATCTTTGGCCATTTTTGGAATAGACGTGCATGTTTATAGACTGTGGGAGAAAGCTGGAGCCTGGAGAGACCACCCCCACAGACACAGGGAGAACATGTAAACTCCACAGTCTGGCTTTGGTGGGACCCCCTCTCTGTGAGGTGAGGGCACTTGCTGCCATACGGTCACGTTGCCGCTTCAGTGTTATTGACACAAGAAATTGGGGAAGGTAGATGAAGGCACATGCTTCATGCATGTGATTGTTTAAATATTTCAATTTTCTTTAATATTGTGTAGCGCACTCGTTTCTTTCTTCCTTTCATTTTTGCTTATTTGGGAAATTGTTACAAGCAGGAGTTCATTCAGTGCCTATTTCCTCCAACAAAGAAAATGAGAAAAGGAAACCAGAAAGAATATTTCATTAAAAAAACACCTTAATTTAAGATCTCTACCTCTTTTCAGCTTTTGTTTTGTGTAGGTCAAATTTCCACTTCATTACCGTGATATTAAGCTTTTTTTTTCACTCCAAGCAACTTGAATAGTAAATTGATTTTATCCATATCCAAACCAAACAGGTTTACAAAATGATACATTACCATACAATACAACAAAAACCCCGCAGAGAATGAGCAAACACGCTAAATAAACAGATAAACGAGCTGTTGAGTGATTTTGTTTATTTTGCGTCCTGAAGCCTTTGCTCTGTGATCCATCTTTTAACATGCGCTACTTTGAAGCGTATTTTCCCAATGTATTTATTCCTACTTTTACTGATTCAACAGAAACTTTGATAACAAACGGTGTTTTGATTTGCTCATTGTTATTTTCTGTTTCTGTGAATATTCCAGGCAGTCAGTATGACACTCATCTAAATTGATGTGTTGCCCAAATAAGGGCCTGTTAGCACATTGACATATTTCTATTATCTGTCATAATTTTGAGATAAAAAAATTTAAAAAATGTGTTTTAATATTTGGTCTTTACTTTCAAATTGTTTTCATTTGAAGCTGTATACAAATGTGCAGTGTAGGATTTATAGAAACATAAAGGTTAAAAATGAGCAAAATAAAAAAGCACCCAATCTGGACCTGTACATATATTCACAATTCTGGCAGCTGGGCAGTAGCAGATTTTAATAACTGTAGTATGTTTTTTTTTTCTTTTTCATTTATTTCTCTCATTATGCCAGCGAAATAAATACTTAATTATGAATATGTAACTTTAAAAGTCTCTCAACTCCTCATTACGTACTTTAAATATTGTAAAATTGAAGTAAAGTCATGATGCTAATTATTGTTTATTGACACTTACTTACTTGGCTTAGTTGGTTTGAGGCTCTTGCCATTAAAACAACAAGCATTAAAACCAATGGATCCTTGCTACTAAAAACCTGATTTAAGATCACTGAGTTCCTGATGCAGGCTATCTGTTGTTTTAGAATCCAAGAAGATGTTTGCCCTCCTTAATGCAATTTACATGATTGATGCTTAGTTACCACATTTAGACACCACACTACCTTTGCTTTCATCTAGGTGTAGACCCGAGTGTCGTCCATTGATCTGTTGCTGTTTGGTAGTATCAAGATAAGGTTGGAAGAGTAGTGGGGAGGGGAGGTTAGACCAGACTTAGGAAATATCCGGCTTCTGTTAGCGGGTCAGCTTTTTGTATTCGGCGCTCTCATTGTATGGGACTTCATTTACTTGGGTGTTTGCATCAAGTTTGATGACTGATTTAAGACTGAAGTGCACAGATAGTCTGTCATGTTCTTCACATGGGCAAAAAATGTAAATACAGTTTTTCTCATGTTTGTTAAGAAATTTTGATGACTGGTTCTGGATACAAAGTCAGAAATGATTTTAGAAGTTTCATGACAAATAATTCAAAATGTGTTGAGATATTTATTTAAAGAAAACAAGGTTGAGGTATAGGAAAGTCAAGGCATCTCCTAAATTAGAAGAGTTCATTGTATGTTAAATAAATCTTTACAAAATTTCTTTTCATGGCACAGATTAACCAAAAAAACAGTATAGGGATCTCACCATCACTAAAGTCATCCTGGAAACTTGGATATCTTGTCTGTATGTTTGTTCAGCTCCATTGTCCTAAAATTGGGGGATTGTATAAAAAGAAGTTCCACACTGAACTCATTTTTGGCAGTTTGACTCCAGTAAAGTAAAAAACAGAACGAAGTCTCAAAGTTGCCAAAATGTCTGGGGATGGAGCAGAGTTAGCAGATGGCTGATTGTAACTTTGGACAATGTTTTCAGAACATCCTGGATTAGGTGGAGATGCAGAAGAGGAAAGATGGACTTGGAAGGCAAACTGACATAATTAGCGTTGAGTTTTAAAGAGGGGATATGAGACCAATTGACTCGGTGAAGACGGCCAAGAAGATGATTGCATCAGAGGAGTAATGACAAAGCTGAGAGTGAGGAGAGTTTGGCAGCGTGGGAAAGCAAAAAACAACAAAACGAATAGAGCAGCAGGAACAGTCCCAATACTCAGAAGTGCAGGCACAAAAAGCAGGAAACCTTTTTGAACCCACACGAAACGTCATTAGAAGACTATCGAAGCACTTTAACTGCATAGTCAACGTTTCATTGTTGGTCTGTTGTGCTGAATTAGAGCCAAAAAAAACTGAGCTCATGTCATTATCCTTTTACTTTTGACTGCACTGCACTGGTTATATTGGGTCTCACTGATTTTTAGCTCATTAATGTGGTTCCACAGTGAAACTTTAGCATCTATTTCTAGCCTAAACCTCAGTGACATCTAGAATGCACTTCCCTAAAACTCCACTGATAGCTGAACTGAAGTACTCTATGTGATGTAGGCGGGGTGTCTATACCAAGAGTGAAAATCATGTAGAGATACTAAATTTCAGCTGTTCCACTTTTGTCAGCACTCTGCATGATAAACGGTGCTCTTGATGTCTGCTCCTGCAGAATTATGCTTGCATGCAGGTAACCCCTGTGATTCTGTACTGTGTAATTAAAGAGGAGCAGAGACGAAAGGCACACAATTTGTACAGAACTCCAGCGCATGAGCCTCCCCATCTATCTATTCCTTTTGTGCACACAAATGGCTCCACACATGTACACATGTATAGTACTACAGGGAAAATTTCAGTGTTTTCCCCTTACGTGTGCATAAATATTTCCATGTGTGCAAAACTAATATATAACACCCACAAGCTTTTGAAACATGAAATTTTGAAATGGGGTTATTTCTGCTCTGTACTCTAGAGCAATGGATTTGAAATTAATAAATGAGAGTTTGCCTTCATCCATTTTTTCTATTTTTATCCATTTCCAAGGTCGGGTACAATTTAGGTCTTACAGTATACATGGAAAAACCTCCAAGCGTCCGACTGCTAAAAAATAAACAATTGTCAAATAATAATCATGCTAGCACATCTCCATAAACTGTTTTGCTTTATATACGGACCTATTTGCATTCATTGATTAAAAATTGTACACACAGGCTCCCAGGTGTGCATAATATGTAGAACAACAAAGTTGTCCTGCTTGTATGGAGGTGCTGATTCACTACGTTTAGTCAGGGTTTGTCTGCAAACAGATAAACAGCAATGTGAATAGAGGGGCCATTGTGTTAGAACAGCCAGTGGCTTGTCTCCAGCACTTCACTTAATAGATGGAGGAGAGGAGGTGCAAATAAAGCATGGTAGAATGATGGAGTGGGTGACAGTGGGAGATTGAGATAGGGGTGAGACAGCATGAGGGGAGACAAGGGTTATCAGTAGAAAACAAGGCAGGAACGAGGGGGTGAACAAGACAACGAGGCATTAAAGGGGAGAGCTGGTGAAGAACTGCAAAGTTGTCATGCTTGAGACATGGCGCTATTAGATCCTTCGGGGTTGTTTTGGTACACGCAGATGAGACGAGTTCCTTTGTTTTTTGTCATAGGTTACAACAGCATGGCAGAAGTTGAACTGCTTGAATGAAAGCTGGCTCCATTTGTCTCCGGCTCCCTGCTTCTACTGCAAGAGAGATGTGATTGAGATTCCACAAACTCCGCAGCTGACTGTGTATATTTCTTGAAAAGTACGCATAGATTAATAGAAAAAAATGAGGAAGAGATTTGCTTTTACTGGAATTAGGAACTTGGTTATGTGGGTAATTTAACTGGATGCAGATCATGTAGAATATTT